AAGTATTATCCCATTATTTTGACTTCATGCCATTTGTCATTCTGTCAAGCTGTAAAAGAGAATTTTTGTTTTGCAGCAATTTGTATGCGAAATTGTATGTAGCACGAAATAATTAGAAATGTGTTCCATAAATGATGCAGTAATTCTTAGCGGAAATGGGAATCTCTGTATGTTAGGGATAGACAATGAGCATACCTTTTTGAAAAATGGTTCGGTTAAATACTTCCTTCTCTTCCGAATATGGCCAAGCCCCGGTTTTTACCTGAAAATGTGTTCATTACGCCTAGATTTGCAAAAGATGCAAATATGTGAGTAAAAAACATCTACAATTATAGATAACTTTCCGTTGTTCCGTTCCACAATTACGTCGTATGCGTCGACTAGCGGTCTACCGTATTCCGGCCACAATGATCTTCTCAGCAGAACAGTTGCAAGTATTCCGACTATCTATCATTGGTGGACGTTCAAATGCGCCAGCATCACTAAAATTGCGTCCATTCCGCGAATGGCTTGACGCTGATCAACTTGGCAATAAGCTCTGCATACAATTCTGCTGATGAGTTAGCACGTGACGATTTTTATCGTCGACAACTTCACAATCCCCTTTTTAAGTAAGGGCAGTTCTAGTGCCTTACCGTATATTCTAGTGATATTGTAATATAATCAGACGAATGTGATACATAATCACTAAACATCGCACACATACAGGCACACTGCATTGCCATTTAATTTCTCCAAAGAGACTGCTCACATTTATGTGAAAATCTTATAGAATATCTTTTTTTTAACATTTGTATTAATTTCCTTGCACCTATACCTGTATATTTATGTATAATAAGCTTTGAGGTGATATGACAATGAGTCACTTGGTTGTGCTTAGGATCTGTTTTTTTTTCTTATTGTTTACATCCTTTAATTGTAGATTTCTCGTTTCGTTTTTCTCGAGCACCTTTCATTATTCACTACATTTTATTGGAGGTATCTGCTCTGATTTGTAAGCTGATCTCCATGGCCACTGTATCACCGCTGTGCAGAATTTAACAAGCATTTCCTTCAATATAGCTTCTTTCTTATCAAAAACCAAATATCTTGAAAGTTTTGCATTAAATGTAAATAAACAACTTTTGGTACATTTTACTCAACACTTATTTATGTATATTAGTCCCACTTAATACAATTTTTTTTCTTCTGCTATACATCTCTCATAGCGGTGATCATTGGCCAATCTGTAATTAATAGAGTGCTGACTTCGAATTAATCGATTTATCGATTTTCGTTCGTAAAATTTCCCGTTTTACAGCTGCGAATGGGTTTCGACTGTTATCGGGTAAAGCACTGCGCACATTTTCCAATGATT